CTGAGATTGGCAAAGAAGCTGAATGAGACTGGGGAGAAACCGGCTATAAGAAAATTCTGCATCAATCTCCCTCTGTGAGCCCGGCAGGCGAGGCTGTGTAAAGGAAGCAGCAGGCCCAACTGGGGTTTAATCACAGCACTTCAGAGCTAGGAGGCGTACAGGCTTCGAGTTGCACACTGAGGCATCCACATGCAAAGAATCCGAGGCAGTCGGTGGCAGATCAAAGCGGACTCCACCCAATGCCGGCGGTGACATGTCCAAGTGACCAACCTGGGACTAGCGGCGAGCAGCCAAATATCAGTTGAGGAATGCACCCACTGTTCATGGCCTGATCGCAGACTTCACTGCATGTCTAACACGCGTCATATGCCCGGATTCTTCGCCACGCTGGGGAGCCTGCATGTCGAATGGATGATGGGCCTTTGTGCTTCGTATTGGACCCAGAGCGTCTGCACAGCAGGATGCAAGATACACATCAAGACGCTGAACGTTTAAGGTGGGTGACTCACTAAGTTGACGTTGCCACCAAAAGTCGCATCACCTCGGTACCGGACTATTCTTTACAAGCCTTCATGACTTCAGATTGACAGCACGGGAATCAACACCTGTCTACACTTGCCATCGGAGAACGCACACAGGAAACAATGCCGAAATGAGCTAACCACCGACCGTCGATGGCCCCAGACCGAAGCGCGCGGGCCTGAAGCCGATCAGTGAAGAAATCGAGAAAACGCTTGAGCCCCGCTCCAGTGATGTGTTGGCCATTGGACTGGCACTGCAACTGTCAGCGTAGCTGTGCTTCATCTTGGAACGCTAAGCAATTAAACGGTCCAAAGACTACAAAATCTGCCAGGTTCAAGAAGTAACGCCAGATGAACAAGGACAGTCGAGCAATGCGTGTCCTAGGCCGCCTGCGGCGGAGAACACATGAAAAACTGGGGACCGCACGATCTAATGGCCAGAAACAAACCAGATGAGGCCTTGCGGTACAACAGCCCCCCCCTCCCCAATTTACCGACACCGACAGCTCGTCAAATGCTTGCAAGACACAAGGTCCAGCACTGCGGCTGGCAAACCAGAACGGGACTGCCCAAATGACGGAAAGAGAGGTCCGATGCACCCGGGTGTCCTGCAGGGCTCTTGCTGCAGCAGCCAAAATCCCCTAGATGTTACGCCTGCCTTGTCACCGATGATAAGTCTGCAAATGCAACGTCCAAGGCTGCTGAAGTAAATCCAGCCTTCATCCAGGCGCCACTGCGAAGCGACACAGCATTCGGAAGGTGTAGCTACTCGGGCTGGGGCACAAGTGGTGCCGATGAGGAAAGCTACTACATCCAGCTGGACGAAACCTCGGCAATGCATGCGGCGAGGACAAGGCAAGAGTCTCCAGAATCTGCTAGGTCCTAGGTGCATCGAGCGCCGGACTTTGAAGCAACAGGGCCGCGCCTGGATGCCCGGAGTCCTTGGAGAGTCATCTCTTTGCATCCCTTCCGTCCTTGCGCACAAGGCGAGTAGCCGGGATCGGTGACAAAGATCCGACTGTGAGGGCCGAGATCCTGAGAGAGTTCAGGTGGCACATGTCACATGACGATCAGTTCAGCTCACTTGTCTTGGTGGCAGGCAGTGGCACAGACGCGCCAAAACACCCCAGTCTCTTCGAGGATATCAAGGCCTCGACCTTTCGCCGTTGCGCACGTGTCATCAGATGCCTCCCTGCTGTGGAATAAGAGGCTCCCGAGGCCGGTGCAAAAGACAAGTCCACCGCTGGGGGTGGCAAACCAAGTTTGCCCGTTCCGGACATCGACCTCCCGATCCAAATGCGACTTGCGCACGTGTAGGATTCTAGAGATCGCTCGTTCTGAGCCACGGGCAGGCCCGCACCAGACTGGGAAAAGCTCTGCAGGGTTGGGAGGATGTCTGGATGAAGAGAGTCCTCAAGTGAGGCTGCCGGTCCACAGGTGCAGACAAACGACTAAGGGGCTCCGGGCCATCACTGCCAGCAAGGAACCGAATCATCCTGCCATGAGTTTTGTGTCTCAGACGCACGCCTCGTGCCACGGGGCCTGGCCTGGACCAATTGGCAGAACTACGGGACCGAGCTGAACCAAGTTTTGCACCGGAAGAGCACCTGCCAATAAGAGCCCTGGTGCCTTCCGCTGCCCTGCAAGCGCTGCAGGCTGCGATAGACTTGAGGCCCCCGCTTTCTGAGTACGAGCAGTCCAACACTGAAGGCAAGAGCTCGAGGTGACAATTGCTCAGAACCGTCGAAACGGCTCCTGACCAGGCAGATTGGCCTCAGAAGCAGGGAGCTCTCTCTGATGGGAATAATGAGACGGGCATGAATGAGTTCCCAACGCAACATCAGCAGAAAGCCTCCGTGCAGGAGGACTAAAGGGCTACGGTGTCTAGAGGAGAGGTTTCAATCCGAATCCGGCCTAGTTGGCTCATTTCTGGAGCCAGCATCGAAGCCTCAAGCCGGGATAACCTGGAAGCTGCCGGCAACATCCTTGGAATCCACAAGCGAAGCGCGATAGTCGCTATGGTCTTCCAAGGTCTGGTCAAAAGGCCAACCCAACTGCCGAGCGACTCGGGTCGACTCAAGCTGCGCGAAGGCAACACCAAATCAGATTTGGCGACCTCGGCAAGGTTCAGCAACCTATGCATGCATGCAGTGCATGAGCCTTCCCTTCGCATCTTAGAGACTCACAGCTCAGCCTTCAAGCTAGAACTCAGGAGACCGTAAGTTTCGACAAAACAGGAACTGCACACTGGCGCCAAAATTCTGTCACAATAAAAAATCATGCACAATCGGGGAGGATGTCTGTTTCTGGGCATCTGGCTGTCAAGACAGAGGGCAAGCTGCCCACATGCGATCTTCCAGAGAATGGCAAAAGAAGTTCCAATCTCAGCAGCGAAGGCACGCTTAGGACTGGAAAAGTGCCGCACGATGGTGCGGTTGTATTTGACGAGTGCATGCCAGCTGGCCCAGCATCCCACAACATGAGGACCGCACCATGCACGACACCGCAGTGGCGGAAGCACATCTAGGCTTGCCCAGTCGAGGGTGGACGGGAACCTCGGTTTTGATAACTGGGAAAGTTGCAGCTGCGAAGGTTTGCCACCCTACTGAGGCGCTTGCAAGCCAAGCCTGTTCGTGCCTGGCAGTGGCGACGGAGATGCCAGCCTCGATCGGCGGAAGAACCGTGAACGACTCGAAACTGTCATGGCTGCACCTTTGTCGAGCCTGCTGAGTTGCCGCGGCGGCAGAAGTGGCCCGGTTTCTTGAAATCCACAAGCGAACAGCGCAAAGGCCAGCCTCAATCGTACGCTGCTTTCCGCAAGGGGATGCTGATGGTGTGTTCCAATGAAGCTCAGGCAGCAGCCACGCGAGACTTCTAGGCAGTGGAAAGCTGCCCAGCTGCAGAGAATCGGGAGCCTGAGCGTCGTGTGCGAAAGCGCCAGTGTGTTGCGACCCCGACGAAACATGGGCCAAGGCGGCCGAGGGCCGGACAGAGGGAGGCATCTCAAGCCGAGCAACACCGACAAGCAGAACACATGGCCTCAAGGTGCCCAGATGTGCCCACTTCACATTCACATGAAACACTTACGTAACCACTTCTCTGGGTCCTTGACCCAAGTCACACGGAAGACCTCAGCAGGCAAAACACCCTCCTCTGAAACACTAGCTACCAGTTGCTAGCCGCTAGCCCACCCCTTGACGACATCTGGTGCAACCACGCTGCTGCAATGATGGAGTGGCATCTGACCGGTCGGCATCAGCTGCAGCCTTAAAGTATGATCGTGGCAAAACAATGGTGACAGAATGCTTCGTTCTTGGCCAAATGCCAGAAGAAAGCCCAGCTTCAATGCGCCACAGGGAGGCGAAGAGGGGCCGCCTTCGGCACAATGAGCGATGCACTGGGTACTTGCAGCATCCCTTGGGGCTGCACGACACGACAAGGCCGAGCCCGCCACACCGACTGGGCCGCTGCAAGGAAAGAAAAGACCCCGAGCCTCAGCCACGTAAAAAGGCAGTCACATCTGTCACCCGAAGCCTTCGCTCGCTCTCTCGGGAAACCGCGGAGGAAGTCCAGAACCAAGGCTGACCTAAGCGCTCAGCACTGGACAAAACAGCGAGGTTGCAATCACTGGCCATGGAGGGGCTCGGGCAAGCCGAGTCTGATCAGGCCCATAACCAAAAGCATCGGACTTAAAGATGCGAAACCTCCGCGGTTCGGGCAGGATCGCACAGTTCCACTCAGCCAAATTGACTCTTCCCCCGAAACTCACCTTGAAGGGGCATGGCGCTGTCCATCTTCGCGAAGTCGCACACCATCGGCAACACTTCAAGGCGCGTGAAGCCGGATGTGACCAGAGCGGAGCCCAGGCAAGCCTTCCAAAGCGGCGGTGTCGGGTAATTGCACGAGATGCGAAGCATCAGTTGAACTCCAACTGAGCTCCGCACAGATTGCCGCACAAGCAAGGCTGATTCGGTTTGCACCGTGTCCAGCACCGGCAGAGACTGAGATTGCAAGATGCACGGTGCTCAGCAGGAAACAATCTGCGACAGTCTGCGACCTACCGTGCAGTCAAGATTATAGCGGCCTCACCCCGGAGGCTCCCCGCCCCGAGGCCCTGACTTTCTCGAGGTCAGCAGCGCCAAAGAGCGGCACCACCACAGCAGCTCTAGCAAGGCTCCTCACGATGCACAAGACATGCGATCCTTGCGTGGCATCCGCAACCATACTGCCTGTAGTTCTGGTTTTTGGAGCTTGGAATCGACAACCTGCCTGAGATCGCATCCTCAAGAGCGGAATCGAGAAATCCAAGCCTGGTTCGAACCGAAATCCGAAATGCTAAACCCCCTAGCCTTAAATCCTACACCACCTTGAAAATCGCCGGCAAAACGTTGGAATTCAATCAGCACCCTGTGTTGCTGAATCCAACACCCACCCAAAAAAAACTGAACACCTTCCCTCGCCTCAACAGAGGAGAGCTGCCCAGGCAGGCCAGTTCAGAAGCTGGAAAGGCCAGCCCAGTGCAGGAAAAACTCCTGGCAAGTCGAGAAGCAGTTCAGTGTATTTCAGACAAACCAGAGAGTCCGCCTCGGAACCGACGAGCTGCCAAGGTGAAGCGGATCAAGGGCAGGAAGCGGTACACCTGTCCAAAACATGCGGCCAGCATCAAAAAACACACAACACCAAATGTCCAGAGATCTTGACCGACATCGCCTGGAAGACTGCGGCCATTGATTAGCGTGAGAGCTCCAGCACGGGAGAAGCCACGCAAAGATAGAAGGCTGTCGGTTCTCGAGCGACCTCAGCCGGCTGAAAACTGCTCCCACTGCAGCGTGTGCTCCTTGCATGCTCAGGCCCGGACCAGGCACTGTCACTGCCGCGCCAGTGCGTCCGGAACTATGGGGGAACAGTGGTGGGCCGAAGGTGCTAGAATCCAGGACAGCGACAGGAGCGCCAAGCTTGGTCCCACCGCACCTTGGCTTTCACAAGGTCTGCACCAGCTACAACGGATTGGGCTCAGCAACTACCTCCAACTGCAAGGCAAAGCCACGTCAACAGTGTCGTGCCAGGCCGTGAAGGGCTCCGGGTTGTGGGCGCTGAGCCGGTGCCAGACGAGTGAAGGGCCAAGGCAGTGGCACCCGGTTTCGAAGGGCTCCGAGTCGGCAACTGAGCCATAAGACGTTCATTCAAAAATAATCATGCCGCACACAAGCCAGCTCATGACAGTTGCAAGTAGGTTCCATTCAGTCAAGGAGCGAATGTGCCCAAATGTAAGAGATCCGGTGCTGATGAAAACGAGTCCATACGCGAAACTCCAAGAAGGCTTGCTGACGAGCCCATCCATGAGGAGCACCGCACCGGCAACCTAAGCCGCAGGGCTCGCATCTGCACTCGATGTGGACATCTGCACTTGGAGGTACTCGGGGGTGGCAAGGGCACAAAAATGCGTGAAAGGTAGCTGTAGCTGGCAAAACCTACTAAGGGCATGACAACGAGGTCGGGTGCACATGAAATGCAGCCAAGAAGCAGAAAGCCGAGAGCAGCTGAGTCCAGTACAATAAACGGTGACTCCAAGCCGCATGCCCCAAAGGTCGGTAGCATGCTGTCAAAACAACCGTAATTGCGGGTGGGCAACAGGCTTCCCAAGGTGGTGTAGTCCAATATGGACATCGCACCTCCAAAATTGCAGGTGCCGATGGAAGAGGTCGACGCTCCAAGCCTCAGCGCCGCGCGAAGGAGTAGCGGACTGCCCGTCTCGACGCAACCCACGGCCAGAAGGGGTGAGCCAGTCCGGCCCAAGCCAAACAAAGACAGCAACACCGCCAAGCAAGTGGAAGTTTGCAAAAACAACATCGAGTCTGACATTGAGAAGCTCGATGCCAGCAAGGCTAGGCCGAGCCTGGCAAGCCCAGAAGCGAGAAGGGAGGTGCCAAGACAAATGTACTTTTGCAGTGGTGACAAGCTGTCGATGTGGCCCATGGCCAACGTGGATAGCGGTAGGCCCGGGCAAGCATATGACTGCAAAACTGGTGGCGAGCCCAAATGTAAAGGATCAGGCGCTACTGCGAAAACTTCGGACCGAGCTAAAGCACAAACGGATGAGGTCAGCCCAAGCCTGGCAGGATTCCGAATCGCTGAAGAGGATCCCGAATCCACGACATCCAACACAGACGGTGCAGATTCGGTGCTCGCAACACCCATGAGTAGCAAGAGACTGCCAACATGAACAGTTCTTCTCAGAGGAAGCGATACACCTGCTTCCGATGCCTTGGGGGCAAGCATCGGCATGTCCAATTGTGTGAAGCTACGCGGAAGCAGCAGCATGTCCAAGTGCAAAGGGTCCAAGACCGATGTCGAGGAGTCCGAGCGACTTGTACCAGGAGCCGCCGTGATCAAGCCCAGCCGCAAAAAATGCCTGATCACCAAGGATGGACCAGAGCCAGAGAAGTTTACAACCGAAGGTAAGGATCCGCAGCAGGTGCCGCCAAATGATGGCAGGGCTGTCTCTGACTAGCTGAGGCTCCGAGGAAATGAGGCCACGCCGAAATGACTCAGGCCTGGAACTGAGGTCGTGGCCGACACGCATGCGAAGCCATGTGGCAAAGTAGGTGTTTCCGGTTCGACACAGCTCGAAACCAAAAACGTCAGATCGAATCTAGCCATTCCCGCGACAAGCAAGAATGGATCAAGCCTGGAGGGGCTGTGCGTCGACACAGAACTCTCGAGCTTTGCCGGGTCCAGCAGAAGCACTTGACCCTCCGTCCGTGCAAAGCCTTTCAATGAAGGTAGACTGTCGGGGTGAAGAAAGTCAGAGACAGGCAGCGCTAATCCCAGACACCCGAATGACCGAATTGAAGACATGAGGTCTGAATGCAGAAAGTCCAGTGCAAAAAGGCAAGATTCGGTTCGTGCACAACAGAAAATAGGCGACGATGGACCGGTCCGGGCGAAGCCTCGGATTGAGAGGCAGCTCCCTGTCTCGAACTGCTGTCCAACCCGCAAAACCCCAGCAACCAAAGGTGAAAACCCTGGTCGCCCACATTGCCGCGCCGAAGGCATCGACCCGATCGTCGTAAGATCCACCACGAACAGACACAAGCCCAACCGGAAGGCGCGGATGACGGGGGTTGACGGCTCCGCTCTCGAGGAGCTCCTCATAGTCAAGAATGGCCCAAACTCAGCGAAATCAGCTGGTGGCATAGAGGCTTCGCCACGGAGAATTCCCGAAGGAAGTGTCGAGCTGCCAGCCTGGAGGAAAGTGCGCAATGGTACCGAGGGACCTGCATTGATGAGATCCGACGGAGGCATGGCCAGACCAGTCCGAGCCCATGACCGGAACGAAACAGAAAAGCCAGCACTCATAAAGTCCGACAGCAACAGAGCCAGTTCAGGCTGAGCCATCCGCACGACAAGAAAAGATGAGTCAGCCCTTGTAGAGTGACGCATAAGGACTGGAGATTCGGCTTCGACGAAATCGGTCACCAGCATCGAAAATCCCAACCAGCACATGCCAAAAACCAAAAAAGAAGCATCAGTCCATGCCGTATTGCGTGCCAAGAAGGAGGAGTCCACGAAGGAATGATCTGGCAAGGGCAAGAAAACATCTGACTGCAGCCCACCAAGAACGAACGTGGGAAATGCAAAACAAGCCAGCTGCTGCAATAGCACGAAGAACTCCACAGAAATGAGTTCCAACAACGGCATCACTAGTTCAGCTCTGCTGAAGCTTCGCACAGATGTGGTTGAGCCGACAAGCATGCTACCCACGAGAAGAACGGAACGTTCCACACGCACTCGGCCAAGACATGACATTTTCAAACCCGCGCAGGTGAAAGCCCTGGCCAGCACCGAGAGCCCTGGTTCCGCGAAATCCAAGGTCAACATCAACAGTGCCGGCTATGCAAGAGCTCGCAAAGAAAATGAGCTCTCGGGATGCAGTGGGTCTGGCAAAAACACCGCCGGGTCAAAGCGGGACTTCCCGGATGCTGGAAGAGCCGGGTCTGCACAAGCAAAAGCTTTCGAAAACACAGGTGGCTCGAACTGAATGCAATCAGCAAGTAGAGGAATAGCTCCTAGGCGCGTGAAGCTGCGAACGGATGCCGCAAGGCCCAGCATGGCAAAATCCAGCAGAGAGGTGGCCGGGCCACATCTGGATTTTCCGAACAAGAACAACGGGAAGTCAAACAGGATCCCTTTACGAGCTGATGGCGAGGACTCTGCACAACCAAACGACAAAGCCAACACAAGAAAGTCCATGCAGAGCGAGCTTCGCAGAAGCAGGAAACTACCCGTCGAGATCCAGCTCAGCAGAATCGTGAAAAAACCCAATCTGCTCTTGCCAGGTGCAGGTGATGAAAAAGCCGGGCAGATACCATTCTGCAGCGAGGCAGGTGAGCCCATGGTTACGAAATCTAGGAGGCTCATGCCCCGTCCTGAACAGACGAGGCTGCGTGCAGGAGGAGATGGACCTGGACCAAAACTATCCAGAATCGAAGGGGCAGAGCCGAACATGATTCTGCCCAAAGCAAGCAAGCCGGAACCGGATCGACTAAAGCCTCTCGTTAGCAGTGAGGAGTCCAGATGCAAGAGGTCGGCAATCGGCACCAGAAACTCCGTCCGAGAAAGCCCGAACAAAGAAAATGTGAAGCTTAGACCAACGAGTGATCGCACGGCAGCTGCTGACCCAGCTTCGCACATGTCCAAGGTCAGCAGGAAAGACTCACACCGGGCACATCCAAAAAGCAAGAAGGTAGTTCCCACACAACTAAAGCTGTGAAGAAGTGATGGCAAGTCAGCTATTGCAGAATCAAGCAAAGGAGGCATCATTTCAAGCTGCACGAATGACCGCAGCAAAAACGAAACGCCAGTGGCGCTGCTGCCTGGGACAAACAATGCACTTCCCAAAGTCCCCTTTCCGAAAAGCAAGGAAGCGAAACCTGAGTGTGCGAGCTGACGCGAGAACAACAAAGCTTCGAGGTTCACAAAGTCCAAGACCGGGAAGCCCGCATCCAGTCGTGCTCCACTCAGAACGAATGGAAAACTGCCTGCCCAGCAGAACTTCTGCATAAGCACTGGAATGCCAGGAAGGCCCAAATCGAGAAGAGCAGTAGAAAGGCCAAGGCATGTCAGTCCCACCGCAGGCACGGAAAGACCCAGATGCGAAAGCGCACGTGCCATCGACGACAACCCTGCATCGACAAGGCCAGGCAAAGATGTCAGAGAACCAGACCAAACTGCACCTGATGCAGGCGGCATGAAGTCAATGATCATTACACCCTTAACTGGGACCGTGTCCTGGATCGCAGCATCGCTGCGGATCTCCGCAACTCCATAAGTTAGCAGCAACGCATCCATGCAAACGTAACCTCGAATAGGCAACAGCGGAGCAATGCTCCCGTAGGACAACGGGAACATGGCAGGCCCGATGTGCACACTGCTCCTGCATGATAACATGGGACCGAGTCGCAAGTGATCCGAGGCAGGCATAGCCGGCCCCTGCCAAACCATCCCAGCGGCCAATGACGGGACACCTGGCTTTGAGTGCCTCTGAACGAACAGCGGTGGGCCGAAGTCGAGAAACTGCGCAACAGACAGACCTCTCCTCCCAATACGGGAGCAGCCGAAAGGAAATGACAGCAAACCGGTGTAAAAGAAGGACTTCAGTGACGGCGCCGCTCCAAGACTTGCACCATCAAAGACAAAAAGCAAGCTGCCCATCCAGGCCAAACCAATTGCAAGCAAACAAAATCCAGAACGAGCAAAATCCTGAAATGGCACCAACGAACCAGTCTGTGCAAGGTCTAGGGCTGAAGTCACTGCATCAAGATGCAAGAAGCATCGCGATGGGGCAGGCAGCTCAGCTTGTGCGGCATCGAGGAGTGAGAATGAACTACCTGCCTGTGCAAGGCTTCGCAATGCCAACAACAGACCCATGTTTTGACAGTCCATCGTCAGGGTCGCCGGACCTGCTCAAACAAGAGACTGCAACGGCAAGATGCTTCCCATCAGAGCCAGGTCGAGAACAGGCGTGGCAAAGCCTAAATGGCAGGGGCTCCTCGGCAGCGCAAATGCTTCCACGTCCACGAAGTCCAAGGTCAATGACGCCGCATCCACTTGGCAAAGGCTCTTAATCGATACAACCGCATCCGACTCCATGCTGTCCAGAAGCAGGGCCGTAGAGTCTGGTCGCAAGACACCGCATGGCAGCATCAGCAATTCTGAACGGCACGTTGTGCGCGACAACATCGGCAATCCGAAGTTAGCATGATCCGGCAGAGGTGCGCTTAAATCCAGATGAGCACAGCTGTGCAGCAGCAGCAAGCTTTCTAGATCACAGATTCCTGATGCCAAAGAGACTGGACCCGAGCACATCCATCCCATCACCGGCACCATAGACTCAGGATGATAGGGGTTTCGAGGCAACGATGGCGGCTCGAAAGCAACGAGGTCTGACAGAAGCACTACAGCGCCAGGTCTGGCGAGACTTCGAAGCGACAGCAAAGAACCCACGGAAGCGGTGTCCGGAGGAAGCAGTGGTAGACCGGGCTTTGCGAAGCCAGCCAGCAGAAACATGGCATCTAG